AAAAAAAAAATGCTCAGAAGTTTCAATTGCATTGTCATAGAAACGAGATGTATTAAGGAGATGTACTGTCAGAATTTTTAAATAATTATTTCGCAGGTTAATGCGCTTGTCATTTATTGTATCCCACTATAGCGTTTTTGCCGGGCGCGGTGGCTCGGTTCCAGTAATATTCTCTACTCTGTTGTTTGTCACTAAGGCGTCAAGTTTCTCTGCGTACGCGAGAACCAATAAAGGTTTCATTTAATAGGAAATAAGGGCTCGGAGCGCAGCTTGATTGCCGTTTAATATTAACACCTGAAAATTGATCTCTGCACATAGACTAATGGCGTGGACATCCACTTAGAGTATACTTTATAGCTTAACAATGGGAACAGAGATTTTCAATCTTAGTTAAAAGAAGTCAGCTCCGACGCCTTTGTGTGTTTTTTATCCTCTATGTACCAAAATAGGGCTTGCTTTTCTCCCTAGTTCTATTTTGAGGTTTCTTTCGAAATTAATTATTCTACATATCACACACCGTCTTCAAAAGAGTCACAACCCTAAATTTGTCATTTTTGAAATTATGCGCTAAAAATGTACACCGAGCTTTTATTTACTTTTCAGCAAAAGCTGGAGCAAATTTTTGTTATAATTTGTTAAAAACCCTAAGGCAAGGTCGCCCTTGCCCATATGATTATCAAGAGCCAAGAAATAGTTTTTCGCATTTTCTGACAAACGTATTATTTTGAGTTGTGACTCTTTTGAAGACGGTGTGCGATATGTCATCCCGCGGGAGAGTTTCCATATACCGATATGATACCACTTTCTCTTTTCCCTAACCCTCTTATAAGCGATCGGTTGGCCACCTGATCCACGCTTCACAGTTTCCACCGCTCTTTACATTATCATAGGCTTAACAATCATAGTCTATACATCCATCTGCACGATTGAGAGAATACAAAGGTTGCGCCGATCTCGGACCGCTATTCCTCTCTTAACGAATTTGACAGAATCGTTGTTTGCATGACGTCACACTGGTGCAACTTGTTTACGTTTTTCCTTGCAAAATTTTTTCTTCTTCTTCCATTCTTGCTCACGTTTTGGCATTTCTCTCTCGCAATTGCACCAGTGTGACGTCACACAAAAGTTATTCTCAAAAATCCTCTCTGATCGGCGCAATCTTGTATTCTATCATTCTTGATCCAGCTGAGTATCCGAGGGCTAAAACAACTAACTAGCAACTAACTTTAAGCTATGAATACGCCTTCTTCAGTTATATCTTCCTGGAGTACTGGAACGGACTAACTTATTACACTGAACAGCTGGTTCTGAGAGATTATGCGCTTTATGCTGAGGCTGAGTATAATTACACACCTCTGCTTCACATGCGCTGCTCTCCTATGCCCTGTACTGCAATGTATGTATAACCAGCACTAAAGTCTGCTGCCACGCTACTAGCATTGAAGGCAACAACGAAAATGTAATCCTTGAAGACCAATTTTTGAAAAAAATTTCGAACGTAATTTCTTTGTTTCAACCTCATCCACATCGCAATTTGCAAAGTAAGCAAACCTTTTGTCTAAGAGTCGCAGATAATCACCGATTTTACCAACAATGAAAGCATAATTAACAGTTTTTACACAATGCAAATAAGTACTTTTGATGCGAAATAAATGTTTATAGCAAAAAGATTTTTGGGGAGCAGAAAACAAATTATAAAACCTTAGTTTTAAATTTTCAGTGAGTAATCAAGATAATCAATTTGTTAAGGTAATCAGTATTGGTGTTGTGTAGCCGCTGTAGCTGAGTGGTTAGAGGTGCATACTACCAGACCATAGCCCCTGGTTTCAATACCTGCAATGCCATCAGATCGGTATCGTTCTTTCAAATTTCAAAAATGAGATGTCAAATTAAAAAGCCTGGCCTGCAGATGTGCAACAAGGTTTTATTTTTTGAGGTTGGAACTTTTTTTTAACTCTACAGCGTGGTTTATTGAAATGAAAAACCGACATCATGCGAGAACTCTCTTCACACAGAAACGGCTTAACGGATTTTGGCACATATGTATGTAGATCGCTTAAAACTTTGACTTAAAGCTTAAAAAGACGGCTGCGTTGATTCGGACTAACTCGGACTTAATCCGGATCAACTGCAGTTAATTCCCGAGTTGATCCAGATCAACGCTGCCGTCTGTTTATGCTTTAACAATGGAAATATTTTATTCGTATTGTTTCGATGACTGCGTGGGGTTAGGTTGGCTAAAAATAATACGTCTTTAGCAGTAACCCCATCCATCCCCCACAGTTAAGATAAAAGTGAAAGCTTATTCATTAATGTGGAAAGTTAAGTAGCTAAATAAAAAACTAAAAGCTTTGAACTAAAGTAAGAGCGTGTGTGAATCGGTAACAAAGTTCACGGCAAGAAAATTTTTGACAACTATGAGGTGAATAAAATTTCAATAGCTCATGAGGCTAGTGAAATTTTTGACAAATGCATAGAAAATTTTGACAATCGCAAAGATTGATGCGTGTAATTTTTGGTTAAATAAAAGCTCAAATTGATGAACTGAAATCAACGATGGTAGATGTTTTCTTAAAATATTAATTTCACTTCAATTTGTAATAGTTTATTCCGCATAAATCTGCGGTTATCAAAAATTTACTGTTGTCAAAAAATATTTAATTTCGCACAGCAGATTGGCAAAACTGTCTCACCATAGTAAAAATATTATTCAACAGCTTTCCCCATAGAACTTTGTTACCGATTCACACACGCCCTAAGTAAAAAACTTTTAACTTTAACGGTTTATTGTAGAGAAATATAATAATGTTGCTGATAATGTACTAAAAGCTAAAAAATAATTAGAAAGCTACAAAGTACCAGTCATCCCCCCCCACTCTCCTCGTCAATCTAGAGCATTGTTCTTACCAAAATAAATTCGTGGGGCGTAAAAATGACTACTAAACAGAATTTCTAGCGCAAGCAAACACTTATTTTATGTTGACAGTGAAGATATGCAAATAGTCATAAAACTCCGTTCTTCCCAAACTTTTATAATACCCCTAAAATCACAGCGCGTACAAACATAAATATAGTGCACACACATACATACATACACTCACTCATTTCCTTTTAATTGTCTCTTTTTATGGACACTAGCGGATGCATATTGTATGCAGTTAAATAATTTTTATTTTTTTTTTTCCTACATTTTCAGATTCATAGCAATTTGGTGGCCACTTAAACAGATGACAAAAAGTCGCGCCCGTTTTATGATTTTATGCATTTGGTTGATTGCCTTAAGCTCGACAATACCTTGGGTGCTTTTCTTCGATCTCGTGCCAGCTGCTGAGTCCTTTCCAGCGGCACCAAATCTTTATTTATGCCAAGAAGTGTGGCCACCTGGTACCAATGGAAATTTATATTTCCTCTTAGCCCATTTAGTGGCTTGCTATCTACTGCCAATGTCATTGATTACGCTGTGCTATGTGCTAATCTGGATTAAGGTATCCACACGATCGATCCCAGGCGATTCGAAAGATGCACAAATGGATCGCATGCAGCAGAAGTCGAAGGTTAAGGTGATCAAAATGTTGGTGGCGGTTGTTATACTATTTGTGTTGTCTTGGCTGCCACTTTATGTGATCTTTGCAAGAATTAAATTTGGTAAGCGCAGAGTATTCATTACCAACTAAATATACAATTTGTTTACATTACGAATGCTTTGCATAATTTTGCAGGTGGTGAGATTTCAGTGGAGGAAAGCGAAGTATTAAATAAAGTGACACCCTTTGCTCAGTGGCTGGGTTCTTCCAATTCGTGCATCAATCCAATTTTATACGCCTTTTTCAACAAGAAGTATCGTCGTGGTTTTGCAGCTATTCTACAATCCAGGTCATGCTGCGGACGTTTAAGGTAAATAGTCTCCACTTTATAAGGCGTGGGTTCTTCGATTTCATAATTTAATTTCCCAAACTCGCTTACAGGTATTATGACAATGTTGCAATTGCTTCTTCTACCACCAGCACACGCAAGTCGTCGCACTATCATCACAATGGCTCTCGCAAAAGTCCCAGCAGCCCCGGTTTGCGTAAAACCAATGCTGTCTCATATATTTATGAGCACCAATCACTTCGACGTCATCACCACAATGCTATGCTAAAACAGGATAGTAACTTGTCACAGCAGATGCTTTTGAAACAGGACTCCCATGGCTCGAGACAATTTTTGATCAAGCAAGAGAGCGCCTCAAGTGATGGCTCGCGTCGTATGCTTTGTCAGCAGGATAGTAATGGTTCGAAAGTTTCCCTATCGAAGCAGGATTCGATTGTATCATATATGGAGGCAAGACGCAGTGGACAATTGAATGGTAGCATTGATAAATCGCAAGATTTATTCTCCGTGCAGGACAACATGTCAATTGATTCACGACGCGGCACAAGTTTTAAGTTGGATTCGGCACATAATTGTGGTTCGCCCAGCACAAGCGCTGCCATGTTGGAATATAAGAGACAAAAGTTTGTCAAACAAGACTCGGTGATTTCATTTGTCGATCAAAGACCTGGTAAGTAGGCGCGGTGTTTGAAAATAACTGAAATAACTGTATATGAAAATGTTTTTATTTTACGTAGACCATTATGCGTACTAGGGGTGGTTTTTCTCAATAGCTCTACCAGATTTTTCGGCACCTAAAATTTTTCTCTTAACACGAATCACGATACAATAAGGGCATTCACAAGGTGCCGTTAGAGTCATATTGTAATAAAGTCATACATTTTAGAATGTTTAAAATTATTTTTTAATTCTATTTTATTGCACCATGTTTTTTATCCAATTCACTTGACTTTAATCCATACACGTCCATCCTATTTTACACACAATTAAAGTTTATTACATTGCACATTACATTACATTACATTATTTTTCATTCAGTTTCATTCATATTTTGTCCATTCAACTTATGTCCTTTGTTTTTTCATATCAAATTTATACACATTTAGGGGGTAATCAGCATATAATTAGAGCTAACTATGTATGTGTTTTCTAATGGTTTAAAAAAATTTGTATGTAGCTAACTGGGGGGTAACGGCAATAACGCAAATTTGTATTATTTCCCAATTGAATGTGAAATAACACAAATTTGCTTTATCTAATTTCTCGTTGAGTAATAAGACCAACTTTTAAATAAAATAATTGAGTAACAAAGCGAAAGAGTGCACATAGGTAGTCACACAGTTACAAAAAAAAAGTTGACAAAAAAAGTGCATGAACAAGCTAACTGGAGAAGTTGGTTAAGGGATAGATTTTGGAACCCCCTTTTTGAACTTTGTTCTGATTTCTGTTCGATAAGTAGCCTGCTATGCTCGGATTTGTGCCGACTCGTGTGAACTAACCTAATAACTACATCTTTTGGGTTCTACCGGTTGTAGGTTAATAGAAAATTGGAGCGCATGGCGAAACATTTACACTAACCAAAACTCATTTTGATAATAAATAAAGTGTAATGATGCAATAACCATGATGATTGCATCATGAAACAGTTTTATCATTCGGACGTGCTGTTCAATCATATACATAAGTAACTTTTCATGGTTATTTGGCATCAGTGGAATAATAAACAACGAGTTAGACAGAAGGCGGCAAAACAACATATGTACATTAGGGTGGTCCAAAATACACGTGAAAAAGTAAAGTCGGAATTTTTATGCGCTCACCCCCTAGAATTGTTCTATACCGAAAAAATATACCCCTATTTTTTATTTTAAAATCAAAAATGAATTAGAGGTTCCTCAAAGCGATCCAAATTTTCCATGCATTTTGTATGGGAAAAAAAAACTTTTCGTAGAAATGGTATAGAATTCTTAAAAGTCATAATTTTTCTATCGGTGAACTCTGTTTCTCGGCGGCAGCTTCCCATTAATAATGTACAATTATTTTATTTAATAATGCATTAACTATTTGTCGGATTGTCCAGTTATTAGATTTTGCGTTAAAATCCTTCATTGACGCAGCTAAAAACAAGAAATTTTTACCTACTTTCACTTATTGTCAACAGAGGGTTTACAGTGAAAATGGCAAAGATCGGAATCATAAATAAAAAGTTCACAGTGTAAATCAATTTACATAGTTAGTATAATGTGTTGCCCCCTAAATAACTGTTTAAAAGTACAATAATGGGCTGAAGGATGTGTTCAGAAATGCATCAAGCCAAAGCATCAGTATCTTTTATTTCTCAACAGTACTTGCTGGAAATGTCCAATATGCGCAACCACGGTGAAATGCCTGATGTTCTTGAGAGGACTGTTTTTACTTGTTATATAGAGCATTTGTTATATTTTTTGTGATATTTGTATCACTTACATACATATGTAGCTGCGTTTTCACAGTGATGTGTTAACTCTCAATCGGCTACAATAAGTACACAAAATTTAAGTTCACTGCCGGATTTGAGTTAACTATTCACTGTGAAAACTGCCCTTAGTATTTAAAAAATCTAACCATTTGAATCGAACCGAACCGCGGTTCAGAGATAATCTTAAGTGGTTGGAACCGAACTGAAACAATCTGCATCGGTTTACAGAGCGTTTTGCAGCCCTGGTTTACCATTAGCTGCAGCGAAATTATACAAATTTTAATAACAAATTCGGGCTTTAGAAAATACCTGTGCCATTGCGTTAAGAAAAATTTTTATTAAATTCGTTTCCACATAGAATATACTTTTTTGGGATGTTGCTCGAAACAGGGATCGAACGCTAGACCTACCGAGTGGTAGTGCGTACCTCTAACTCCTCGGCCACGGCAGCTGCAATCTTATACATAAGTCTACACACCTGATCCAAGCCAGCGTTACCGTATTTGTCAAACCGGTAGTGTCATTTTCCTTTGGTAGTTTGATTGGTTTGACAAAGCTTTTGGTTGGTAAACATATTTACTATTATACAACAAAGGTTGGATGATTGTTCCGAATGCAGAAGTCTACGCATGTGAGAAAAGTATTAGATTTCACGTTCTGCTGATAAAAAAAAAAAAATGGTAGTTTGAAAACGGATTTGGTAAGCTTTTTGGTACTTAAAAATATAATTCGAGTGGCAACACTGACCCAAGCATGTTAAAATTACTACTAAGCAACCTAGCTTAATCAAGCCCATCTCTACGATTCGTGTCATAACTATGAAATTACTCATTGCAGAGCCCAGACGCCACCAGCTGGTAAAACAGGATTCTGTCATCTCATTTGCTGATCAACGCAGAGGTGTTCTCAATAAACAGGACTCCATCATTGCCTGCCATAATCGCACAGGTGACGGTACGGGTCATCATGTCTCAATACTTAAGAAAACTGAAGCTTCACTGGGCAGTGCCCTTGCATCGCCCAGACGTAATATTGACATATTTGAGTAATTGTATTGCAAAAGCTTAATAACAATTAACAATACAAATAACATAATAACTATCAATAACAAATTTGAAATACCTTTTAAATACCAAAGAAAGAGCACATACGAAATAATCAATAAACAAATTAACAAAGTAGCCATTTCATAAATGATTATTGATACAGATTTCTACAAGTATGTATATTTGATCTCTACTGAGAAATGAGATTTATACTAACTACACTTGAGAATACTCGTACATATAAGTATGTATCTCATAACGATAACAAAGTCACGCTACACCACACACAATCAAGTGTAGTATTTTACATATCCTAAACATACATAGTAGTATGATAGCAAATGAAGCAAAAGGCAAGCAAATACTAGTAATCGGGACGCACATTTGATATTTGTATAGGTGTTTGTATGTAGTACTTACATATGTATGTATGTATTGAGTAAGGATATGGCATAGCAGTACATAACTGCCAAAACATACCTGGGTATGTGGCGTTTGTAAATGTATACGTACATATATATGTACATAGGTATGTATGTAGGTATGTGTACAAGTTAGTTTAGCTTAGTTATGGTGCGAATAATCTTAAGTACTGTTTTTTATTGTGGGCGGGCATCACAACAAAACTAATGATGATGATGATGAGTAATGATATGGGTGATATGAATTTTGTACGAGTTTCATATGATAGTTTCGGATATACTTACACACACACACACACACACACACACACACACATTCATATGTAATATTTTAATGCTATACTATAGACGCAGACTTACTAAGTAATATATAAAAAGTTTGATAATGATAATTACAAAATATGCAGAAAATTAAAATTTGTATTTTTATGAGTATTTTACTGAGTAAAGGGTATTGAACGAATTTCGAAGAGTATAAAAGCAGAAACACTTGAAAAACAATCAAAAGTGAGTGGTAAGAAGTGAGAAAACTCACACAAATATTAAGACGCATGCTAGTATATATGTATGTATGTTTGTATATACATATGGCTCGAAAATTAGATACATGACTTATTTACGAAATGTTACAATTTATTTTTTCTTTTATAAATTTAAATTTTCTAACGAAAACCATATAGATCAAATTTTAACAACTTGTACAAGATCTATAAAAAAATTTCAAAATTTTTATTCAGAATTTACACACAAAAAAAAATAAGTAAGCAGTTTTTCTTATAGCCCATTAAATTTTAGCATAATAAAGTGGAAGTTTGAAATTGTTAAAAAATCTAAATTTTTTATTGTTTTGTATTTTCTTCCATAAAAAAAATCAAAAACTTGCGATAAGGAGCATTCACCGGTCTAGTTCTAAACTAAAGTTGTGTTAACAACTCAAAAGCGTTCAGAACTTTTTTCAGTTGCTCCTTAAGAGAGATAAACACAACAATGACAGTAAAGAAAATTTCTGAAACTGACTTCATATTGATTAAACCAGCTTACCCAGAATTCTTTTTGTAGAAATTTGTAAGGAAAAGTTTGATATTTTTATGAATATTTGTCGAAAAAATAAATTAAAACCAATAAAGATAAAATAAAGTGTTTTAGGTTTTAAACAAATCGTGTTTCTAATTACCGGGCCACCAACGTATATATGTATGTATGTATGTATGTATATTAGGGTGCATCACTCTCTATACAAAAAAAAATGGGTACTGTTTTTCCACCGGAAATAAAAAATCTTTTATAATTGAAGATTTCCGCTCAAACATTTAAAACAAAATATTAAGGTTAACGTGAGCTGGACCTATTTGAAAATACCTACAAAAATCGAGTTTTTTTTATAAGTAAAACTAGTTTTAAAATTTTTTTTTTTTTCTAAAAAATCAACTCAGATGATAAAAGATTTCAAGCTTGAAAGATCTGCATACAATTTTTTAAAAATTGCATAAGCACAATCAAAATAATGAGATTTTTTGAGGTATTTTCGAATCGGTCTAGCTCACGTAAATTTCAATATTTTCCAAAATATTTTGTCGGACATTTTGAAGTATAATAAATTATATAATTCCGGTGGAAACCCCGCAATTTTTCTTGGTAATGCTCACTAACGTATGTATATGTACATATACATATGTATGTCCTTAGATCAGTATGCAAAGAAAGATTATATAGAAAAACTGTCCAACTTGTGTATGTAAGATTAAATTATACCGAGGTCTAAATGCAATGTACCTACTAGCAGAAAATTTGTATTAAGAAAAATTCTTAAGATTTATATATTTATATTGAAGATTGATTTGGAAGAAAGTAATCATTCTATCAAACAATTTCATATGTAGCTACATACATATTCACATATTTAAATACATACACACATGAGTAGATGTTGAACATGCTGAGTTATGCATAAGTAAGCATAAGGGTGCGTCTACAATGGTCAGTTTGAAGTTGAAAGTGTTTTTTTTTTTTTTAAATGTCCTCTTCGCACATATCGACTTCGAGTGAAGTTTTGCGTTCTTCATGGTACATATACCCAACAAGCAAAATAAACTTAAAGAAAGTTTTTTTTAAGTTTTCAATTATAAACATTAAGTTTTCAAAACGTTGATTTTTTGTTTATAAAACGCTTGGAAGTAAGCGTAATATAATCGAAAAGGAACATTGGTTATAAGCGTAGAAATATAAACTTGTAATAAATGTTCAAAAGAAAGCTTTTTATAAGCGTAAAAGTGTAAACTTATAATAAAGGTTCAAAAAAAGTTTTTTTTATTAGCGTATCAATATAAACTTACTAAAAATTTTCAAAAGAAAGCTTTTTATAAACATTTTTATAACCCTTTATTTAAAGATATTTCATTAAAAACTCATACATAGATTGCTTAACATCTAGAAACTAAACGAAATACGAATTTTCGGCGGACTCATCTACAGTCGCGAAAATATAAATAGGGAATAGACATTTTAGCATACAAATTCACAATAACACATACAAATTAAGCATAAAAAAGTTAATTATTACATCTTGTTGCGTGCTTTCAATTACTTGCGGTTATTGGCAAATTGGAAAAGCGACATCGATGCAGCTATATATTCCGCTTCATCGCCGCCATTCTCATTGATGAACTTTTCTGAAAAAAATTCAATACATTTTTAATTGAATGTTAAACTAAGAAAGGATAAGGGGAACTCATCATTTGGAAACTCGAATGCTCCACCGATTAGCGCAGCGGGTCCTTGATTGGATTTTCTTGTTTTACCGTATTGGTTTTATTTAATTTTTTCTTTTAATAATATATTTAAAAAATCGTAAACACGTCACTTACGATTGAAAAAATTTTATATTTACTACTTCATGTCGTTGGCATTTGCATTTCATTTATAAGTTTAAGTTATTTATAAACATTCGCTCTCAAAACTTATTAAAGGTTTATTTGAAAAAACCTTTAATAAGCTTAATATTAAAAATGCTTATTTAACGCTTATTATAGCAAACTTACTTTAAGTTATTTTTAAAAACATTTACTGAAATGCTTGTTGGGTATGTACATACATATGCTTGTATATGTATAAATTCAAAGTTTTTGAACATCGAGTACAATTACAACACTTCGCTTCAAGCTGTTATACGATAAGAAGAAATTAAAAAAAAAATGCACTCTCAACTCAAAGCTGCCATTGTAAACGCTGCTTAAAAGTTTATTTTTTTTTCTCAATTATTGTTATTGCATAATTTTAAGATTTATGACTTGTTATACGCGTATTATAAGCACACGTTGTTGATAAGTGAAATATTGTTAAAACAAAAATTATATTTATGTATATTATATAAGTAAAAGTATATCCTTGAAAATTGAAACTCATTTATTATAATCCGACTGGAAGTGAAATTATGAAATTATATGTATGTATAATAAATAGTGATGATCGCTGAATTGGTTTGTTAACATAATTTTAGTATTTACCAATATGTATTGTAAATTAAAGTTAATAAAATTCACAACCACATACACAATTATACTATATGTCGATTTAAACGTTACCCAAAATCATTTACATATGTATGTACTTGTGTATGTATATAACTGTTATTTTTCTTTACATTGGCGCCTACACACAAAGGGGACTGACCTACAGTTTTACGCCGACTCCGAAAGGAGCACAGTGTTTCGGCTATATGGAGGTGGGTGGAAAAAATTCATGGTGACAGTTGGTACAAAAAAATCGTTTTCATCATCATTCACTTTCGGGACCTTAGGCCAAGAAATAAAAATATAGATGACGAAATAAGAACCTTCACCTATTGTGAAGTGTGATGGTAAAAAATCTGAACTTTCCTAAAGAAAAGATAAGGAAAAAATTAATTTTTTACAATTCAATTTGGATAGTTTTTTCTGCTTTTAGTAAAAATATTTTTTTTCTAAAAGGGATTTCTTCTTTTCCAAATTTTAAAAAAAATACTCCTTTTTCCTAAAAATTCCTTTTTTCTAACAATTTTTCTCTCAAGAATATATTTTTTCTAAAAAAAATAGTGCTTTTTTATTACTATTTTTTTCTAAACTTTTTTGATAACAATCTTTTTTTCTAAAAGTAATTATTCTCTAACTTAGGGAAAATTCTTCTAATTTGGATAAAAATGCTTCTTTCTAAAATTTTATGATACAAATATTTAGCCAAAAGAAATTTTCGAAGAGCAGATTCTTTTAGTAATTTCGCGAAAATTAGTTTTCGAACATTGGAATAATCACACCAAACATTGGGAGCAAAGAGAATATTTACACCTATGTAATATTTAAGTACAACCTTTTTATTTCTGAGAGTGGAAAGCAGAAAATGAAATCCATCAAATTTAATGATTGGGCCCATATTTTTGCGAGTTGTAGGTCACTATGATCCAATCTTCGCCACATTCATTCCACCTGGCTCAATATAGTCGAAAGACTGTCCGGCGATTGTATTTTCATGAGAAGCTGTTTACTATGTGTACGGAGATTTGAGAACATTTCCACTCTGCCCATACCACAAGAATTGTGAGCCTGCTCTTTGCGCTTACTAAGGCTCCTCAATACCTGTCTAGAACGAAACTTCACCTTAGACATTTTCCTGAAATCTAACTGAATACATTCTGATTTTTCTCTAATTGTAAATGATTTTCGTGAACCCAATAATGCCTTTATTACTTCCATCTCCAACAGGCTTTGAGTCTAGCTGTTTAAATGTCAGTCAAGCTGATGCTGGCTGTATATATTCTTTCAGTTCTAACTGAGGTTAAATCTACGCTGTAAAGCATTTACTATCCCGATGAAGCCGTGGATGTTTAATATTTTCCCCTCTGCTATCTCCCTCAAGCTATTGAAAAAGCGTGATCCCAATTACTTGAGACGCGTTGTCTGGAGAGCTAGGCATTGACATAAGAAGTGGTGAATCGATTCCTCATCATACTCAACCCGACTTCTGCAGAAGGAGCTTGTTGGTATACACCATCGATGGAGCATTGGTGCCCATACAGCAGATTTGTTAAGTGTCATTAGTTCCTCAGTGCAACTCTTCTTGAGTCTCGGCCACATGGATGTCACAGTCATCCCGATTGATCCATAGGTCATTAGTTATGGCTGTGGTGTATTCTTAAATCCCCCCCTTAGCAGATAAGAAATCGGTGATAAGAGATATCCGCTTCGATAACACTGTGATAGTTTTTTTTTCAAACATTTTCAAAGACTTGGCCGGAGAACACAATTTCACCCTACTTCGCGTATGGGGAATCGAACTGCGTCATTAGTTTATTAAGTTTTCTACACGCCTTCATACAACTTTTTATTTTGAAATTTTTGACTCAATGGAAATTTTTTAGGTGTTATACCCTATTTTACGGTTTCTAACTTTCATCAGGTAGGCCTTTTCGGCAAAATTTCTTTGACAAAGGGGTTTATAACGTCTCAGGCCTAAACTTTCGTGAATATATGATGTGGTTGTAAGAGGGTGGTAGCATGAAAATGGTCCGTGGAAGTTATTTTTTTGGTTGGTCATATTCGTTTTCGGCGAACCCAAAAACCTAGAATCAGAGGGGTCTACCGTCTGGTTTGCAACATTTTTTGTTTTTATATTCATGTATAATAAATACACAACTGCTTTCGGATTTTCCACCTAAAAGTGTCGAAGACCTCTTTTCTGGAGTTTGA